ATTTATTATGAAAGCAGCAGGGATTGCAGTACAAAAACATATCGTTGCTCATTATGTCGTGCCACAGTACATCACTGAGGTAGTGCCACAATGACGCTGTTGACCCGTGACATTACACATTGCACCACATTGTTATACTCTATGTCAAGTCTATGAGACAGCAGCTTATAATCTATGAATGACTAGTACGAACTTATTTCACAATGCCAAGGAACTATCAACAGCGAGAATGTCATTGCACTACAATGGTTATATCACGGATAACTAGCAATTGCATAAATAATGCTAAGCAGGAAAAATTGTTGCTAGCCTAACCTTACCATCTTTACCATAGCAATAACAATGCTTCAGCAATTCATAGCAACGTTACAGATTTATCAATTATTGCACGACACCACATTTCCAGTTACTGACAATAAAGGAAGTACCTACTGTGCACATCACATGATATCAATGCCAGGGCTACAGCACTGCAGGCAAGGATAGGTCGACAATACAGTAGTAATAAAATGATCAACAGCATAGCAGCAACAGCAACAGCATAGCATATTGTGCTTTGATATTAATTATCTGCCCTACAAACTGGCGATCGCTGCGTTGCATGCGTCAAACAGTCCACCAAAGCTTTTCTCATGGCCAGCACGAAGACAAAAAATCCACAAATAAACTACCCACTAATCCATCACAAGACACAGAGCCTGCGACGAGAATGACCGGTTGGCGTCAGCTTTCGTGTGTTTCAAGGTATTATGTAGGCCTGGCTGCCAGATGCTGCCAGGTACTTCTGTTGTCACAAAACCATTTCATGGCGCCATCAATGATGTAATAGGGCGCATTTTTACAAACTTTGAAATTTTGCTACTCAGCATCGTTTTTGAACCTTGAAAGCTTACCAGTAGTTAACAGTAAGCTTTCCCACTATATCTGATGCCTACCTCAATGTCTTCAAATGTGGAACATTCCCTTTAAGATATATGCGCATTCTAACCACAACCGCCTTAGTTTAAGGTAGATTGGTGCAGGTATCACAGTCGCAGTGACCGGTCAAAAAGTGTTGGTTCAAACACAACCTTTGTGCGTAAAAATGACATTTCACCAAGTGCCAAATTCGAAAAACACAACCCTAAAGCCAAATTTGTACCCCGAAAATTTTGGTCTGGTGTGCACAAAAAGGGATGTGACAATCTAGCCACTGCCCGGGAGAGATGCATACACCGGAGCTTTTACTTCAACAAGTGCATGCCCCTGCTGAAAATATTTATATCTTACAGCCACAAACGGGAAAGATTAACTTTCTGATTAGATCTGGCAACCTAAAGCCATGACCAGGCAGTTCAGGAAAAGCTGAAATGTCTAAAAATTGATTGCGTAAGACAAGAGGATTATCCACCAGTCGTTAGCCAAACGTTTCTATAACTAAGTGTATGAATGGCTGCTTCCGATGGAATGTACGTACAGCAGGGGTGGTAAAAGTGTTCTTTTTGTCGCTGACCAATTTTTTTCAGGAAAAACTGTCGCCAGTAGCGTAATGCAAAACCGTATGATAAAATGGTCATGAAGTCCATGCCCAGAAGCGTCATCAGTAATCAGCCTACCACCGAAAGCCTCTTTCATCACTGCAATTTTCAATATCATGCACATGACCGAAACGCGCAGTCATACACTGCCCTTAAACAAATGTCAGGAGAAGTGCTACTGCTGGGAAAGCAGGCACACCTGCCCTAGACTAATGGGATAGCCCAATCCCAACAGCAGTTTCTTTCACCCTCGGGAGTTCCCGGTGCCTCACGTTGAATCTCAATCTACGGCTGGATTTGCTTTCCTCGACCGCCCAAAAAAAAAAAAAAACAAAACGAAGGACCTCGATGGTCAGGACAGCAGAACGCATGACAGATTCTGAACCAGTAGCAAGCGGCATTGGGAATGACGCCAAATATTGGGGAGACCCCCATCAGGAGGCATGGCCGCGAGACCATGACCCCGCATGAAAATCCCGTGTGCTCCTTGAGCCCCATCTCAACCGTCATCAAACCATCCACCATACCTTCGGCATGCTCCAAGCCTGGCGCGAGATGTTTTGATTGGTGGGCGGCTTTCGCCATGCCCCAACAAGTTAACTGTACCAAAATTTTCAGTAACTTCACATCAGGCGGATAGCTCTTTCTGAACAACTCACTCGCCCAGACAGGAAGGGGAGGGTGGGCAACGCGACCCCCCCCCCCCCCGTGTGGTTTTCTGAGCATACCTGTGCGACACATTGTGCAATCTTGCCAAATATTTGGTAGCCTCTGGGGTATCCATTGTGCGCGTGTTGACACAAGAAAAGTGCTCCTAGCAATTCTGGTTTGAGAGCAGCATGTTTTTTTACGGCAATTGCAAGACGATTCAATGCCGGCACGTGCGGCGGGGGGGGGGGGGGGCAAGCGACGATTCTGTGGACCGTGCGCGGAAGGTTGGCACTGTTGCATAAACAAAAGACTACATTTTGAATGTAGGCTCCGAACAGATAAAACTATACGTCTTTGTACTCATAATCAAACAAGGGGCACGCCTCTTTATGCTCCACGTTACTCCATGGTTTCGTATATATGAGCATGCAAAGCAAAGTTTGGTTTTCGGTAAAATTTGACCTTCGACTTGATCTAGTGGGGTCAGTTAACAACCGGAGACTTCTTACCAATCACCAGATCTCGTTCAAGACAGTTCACCGTTGGTTTGTTTTTTGAAACGCTTTACCTTCCTCAGTCTGCAAACATCAGGAAATCCCCCTTCTCCCTCAGTCTGCGTTACAAAAACCGGCGATCCAGGGTAAGGGTTAGAATTGTTGGCTGTCATCTTGTTTTGCTTGTTTTATGTACGCTGGTGTAAAAATCAGCATATCATACCGTGAAAACATCAATTGCTACAGTAAAATGACAAATTTCACTGCTAACATCCAAACATTGGTGGAAATTCAACCAGCAAGCCAAAACTGTATTTCGCCTGCAAGTAGCATGCAAATCTAAGGCTATCTGTGATATCTGTCATGTGTAATGCAAGAGTATCAATTCAGATTAATTCCTGGGGCACAACTCAACATCTATGTTGGGTTGGGTCCTTCAGTGCTGATTCCTCCCGTCCCTAGCCAACATTTCTAGCTGGAAAATTACAAGAAATATGAGAAAAAACTAACCATAGCACAAGACCATCGTCTGAGGACTGAATGTATTGACCATGATCGATGGGCTGCTATTTTCCCCTAATCATGCATAGAAATTGACACTGCTGTCATTATGCCACCACCACACAAACTATATTGATTTGTACTGTTAATATACGCTGCATGTAAGGTAGGCTGTCTGCTTTCACAGCCTATACTTAAAAAGATACAGTGATGATGTTAATGGTTCCATCAAGACAATCTTACGATTCAGTGTTAGCAAAAAAATCATGAAGCGTACCATATTTGCATCCACACAATGTCATGCTCACAAGTGCAAAGAAAACATGCACATGAATGAGTATTGCAATATGAATGGCTTCCGAGCTTTCCTGTTACAGTAGTGGTGTTATCATCAGGAAATAGCCAACATTATCCTCAGAGACAACCAAATGCCATCCTTTAACTGACCTCATAGGACAGTTGGACCACAATACCATAAACCCACCTCCTATTTAAAGCAAAACTCCTGGTAACGGGGGTATGGCAATGAAACCTGTGCCCTCCCTCATCGCCTACATTTTCCACACCACTCCACTCCTCACTTTCTTTGCCTTCCCATGGCCTACATCACTGGGTATCATGTAAATTTACAGGAGCCAGCATGTTAGCAAAAGGTTGAGCTGATAATAATTGTTTTAAAGTTATCAAAACCTTGATGAAATAATGACATTTCAAGCAGAGGCATAATTTGTTTTGATAGGTTAGGGATCAGTGGCAACTTATGCAATGTACCCCAACGATATTGATGTCTCCCAGATTGGCACACTTCTTCACAAACTTAAGGGGAGGGATGGGGCCCTAAACTGAATAAGAAGTAGAAACACCCTTGATTTGAAGATCTATGTGACCGACAACCGTTATCAATCAGGACAAGCGCATCAATGTCATAAATTGGTATTTCCGAACTATTATCATGTCTTATTATTCTCCTTCATGAGGAGTGCCATCAGACTTAAACATAAAATCCACGGTTCTTTGAAAGGGAAGAAGACTGGTCGCTTATGACTGTTTCAGTGAGTCAACAGCCTTTCTGGTGTCTGAAAAGGCGGTTTGGATAATCACAGGTCAATTTCTACCATGATCGGATCATCCCGCCGACTTAGCCTGAACTGGCAATGCCTCTGGTCGCAGAACAGGACACTGAATCACGGCACAGCCAGCGAAGCAAACAACACCAGAAATTAAATCCAATGCAGGTATTCATGACGCTGCCATGCGAATGCCAATTGCGAAGTTGCAATGCATTGAAAGTCATTGCCTATCTCATATCAGTCGCATCGCAACAATTAAAACACGCCCTTGCGGCCAGATGAATCCGCATATCTAGATCTTTTCAATCCTTTATACTGTCTGGTTTGGCACACTGAAAGTCGGCTGTTAAAAACAGCGAATCGGCCCACGGGCCGGGCCATAGGAAATGCATCGATTTGTCGCCGACCTTTCATCAAGTCGACTGACCAACCAAAATGATAGGATCTTTTTGTCGCCGGGTTAGAATGAAAGTTAGGAAAGTTACCGGAGTGCCGTATGGTACGGCAGTCTTTACAAAAGCGTTTGTGTTGTGTGACGAAAGTTATTACCATGGAGTGATAATATCTACATATGGAGGCCTCACGTTATGTTTCGTATGGCATGCTGTATTTTTTCGTCTTGGCCGTCAACAAAATTTACTGTTCAATGACATTTTTGGCACCAGACTTCGCGTGAAAATATGCATTTTTATCGCAGACCTTATCCACCGAGTCGGCAGGTTTTACCAACCCTGGCGTGCGAACCAAGCAGCGCGGTCAAAGAACAGTCAAATTATAGCAAATGTATTGCAGTTCATTGCACGCAACACGTTTCGCACCAGGCGGGAATTAAATGGCAACTCTTGTGGCACACAAAGTCTATGCATATGGTGGTATAACACATGATGTGTGACAGGAGGCAGCATCCATTGCGCACGTCTCCATGCTGTCCAGAGTTATTGCAGATCCCTAAGAATGTCAAGGACTTGTCAGAATCCTGGCACTAGTTATAGGCCGATATCATCGCATGATTTGCTCTGGCTTACGGATGGCTCTGCAGCAAAAGGCTGGAGCTTTCACAGCAATAGGCTCGATGGCACCGGCTGGCTGCTGATGTGTGCCGGTGCTCCCTTCGCTAGAACGCGGATGGAGCAGCGGCCGATCCCACATACACCACACACAGGGCGGTGCTGCCGCATCCTGCCACACCGCCTACGTGAAAGGTCTCATCAATAAGGTTTAAATCAATTTTCAAACGAATTGGCTGCGATCGCACACTCCTCAGCTGACCGCTTCCAGAGAGCAGCACTCCAGGTGCGCTCATTACTTGATGATGGCCAGCAGTATCTTCTGGTAGTCCCCGGATGTCTCTGCCGTGACCGCCTCTGCCAGCGTCTTCTTGTAGGCCTTCTTAAAGGCCTCCTTTATATCCTCCAAATCGATCTGAGGACATAGTTGTCATGGCATTGCATGGAACCCAAGAACACACTTTCAGTTTCGAGAGCACGCGGGGCGGATCGAGGTTTAAACGAACTCAGCTGGAGCATGTAACTAGAATGCATTCCTAGCAAACAAAGTCACTCACTTAAGTCTTGCTTCCCAAGTCTAGTTTCCATGTCACGTGCTATTTGGTAGGTAGAGAGCATCTCAATTACCAGTGCTCTGGTCCCATTATTGAGCCCTTTCTGCATTGTGCCAACGGGTGGCCTTCAAATCCATTGCAATATCATTCCATGAACTTATTGATAGACACAACCTAGGGCTGACCAATAACGTCTGTTACCTCGAGTTAAACATATCAATCAGTTCGCGGGATATTTTGTGTTGTGTGTTGGCTATGGGACAGTGGCCTCATTCCTGAGTCACGGACACGGGCCTCCCAATGTATCCGCTGACGTTATTGACTATTTCTTAGTATCTATCATCCGAGGCAAACCGCAAACCTCTGGTTTCCTATGGTAGCCTCTGTCCTGTGACTTCGTAAGATATCTACGAACTGTAACCTCTTCCCAAGCACTCACTAACCTCTGATCTCGTGACCAATATGCGGATGAGTGTGTCGTCGTCAGTGCCGGCACCTTTCATCGCATCGTGTAGCACCTTAGCAAAGTAGGCGTTCTGATCTTTGACGCACAGCACTGAAACAGATACAGCACAGCGCATGGTAACGCGTAAGGCATGTTCAATGAAACGAGAATTACATGGCAGCCCAACTATTTTCAAACCCGCACGCATGCAAACACACATACACACATCTACATAGGCATACAAACACACATGCACACCTACATGAACATACACACATGCACATACCTACAAAAACGTACAAACACATGGATGCACCTACACAAGCACAAAAAGACACGTACACACACCTACCTAAGCATACAAACACAAAGGACACACGTACACAAGCATGCAAGCACACATACGCACACCTACATAGACATACGAACAAACATGCAGATACCTACAAAAGCAAACAAGCAAACATGCATACACCTACACAAACATACAAGCACACATGTTCACACCTGCACAATCATATCAAAACATATGCACACATGTTCACAATCATACAAATACACATGCACACACGTACACAATCATGCAAACACACATGCACACACAAATACGTTAGAAACATAGAAACACCCATACATGTGAATAAAGTTGTAGTTAATCACGGTTTGCATTTGCGTGCATATTCCGATCGATATTAGTGAATTTGTCGTCACAGAGAACAGTGAACTGTTCCTCCTCTGTCTTATTTAACTGGCATCTAATCGTTTGATATTTTCGAGATATTTCGAGTTCAAGGTAATTTAAGAAATTAAGGAATCTGCACCCAAAGGTTTAGCATTGCTTTCGTTGATGTGAAAGCATGCATTGTGTGATAAGCTGTGGGCATTCATCGAAATTTATGTTCAACTCTTACAGGCCGCTTTCCCCACATCCCCAAATTTTCCACAAATGGGAGTTTTCGCGAGGGATTACAGCGTAAATTTTGTTTGTGATCACATGTGATGTGCTGGCACGCTTCAGACCAATCACGACATAGCATATAGTTTTGGTGAAAACGCATATGATAAGTATCAGCGTTCCTCACCTACAGTTAGAAGCGCTTCCTTCAGGTCTCCTGAAAACTCCTTCTCGATGGCATTTTCTATCGAGTTATCCGCAAATTTGGTGTACTCCTCGAATGTTTTCTTGAGCTGGGGGTAGTTCGTTGTGCAGAAGATTCGGATAAACGTCTCCTCGTCTGTCCCGCTATTCATGCCTTCTCCTGCCTCATACAGCTCCTGTAGACAATAGAATGTATTCGTGTCAATGGAATGTATAAATGGTACCAAGCCTGTTCACCAGGAATGGCACGTGAAGGATTGGCCTGAGCCCATGCAGTACATATGCTGCTGGGCTCTGCCGAACACTGACCTGGGCCAGATCCTTGGAGCGCTGCGGGCTGACGCCGACGTCGTCGTTTTCCCTGCCGTCCTGCAGCAGCGCAACCATCAGGCGCTTGACGTCGCCACTCATCTCCGACTCGATGTCTTCTTCCAGCGAGCGGCGAAACTCTGTGGTGGAGCCATGCTAGTGGTCAAGCGCTGCGGCGGGGCTGCGTCACAGGTCAAACACCGCGGTGGAGTCACGTCTGCGGTCACACACACCGGCGGGGTCATGTCTGCGGTCAAACACTGTGGCGGGGTCACGTCTGCGGCCAAATACTGTGGCGGGGTCACGTCTGTGGTCAAATACCATGGCGGGGTCACGTCTGCGGTCACACACACCGGTGGGGTCACGTCTGCGGTCAAACACTCCGGCGAGGTCACGTCTGCGGTCGAATACCGTGGCGGGGTCACGCCTGTGGTCAAACACTCCGGCGAGGTCAAGTCTGCGGTCAAACACTGCGGCGGGGTCACGCCAGCGGCCAAACACTGCGGCGGAGTCATATCAACGGTCAAACCCTGTGGCGGAGTTATGTTAACGGTCAAACACTGTGGCGGAGTCATATCAACTGTCAAACACTGTGGAGGAGTCACGTCAATGGTCAAACACTGTGGCGGTGTCATATCAATAGTCCAAACACTGTGGCGGAGTCATATCAACGGTCAAACACTGCGCCGGAGTCACGCCAGCGGTCATCAAACACTGCTGCGGAGTCATCCACGGTTTTTTTCAAACGAGCCCCAACGGCTCAAGAGTGCTACGCTCCTGCAGCTATCTGCTTCTGAAATAGAACCGTGTAACGAAGTTACACCACAAACATCGCCACAGAATACAGTGGCCTGCGTTGGTTGCAGGCATGTTGCCTGAAGTTCACAGCCTTAGACCCAGGTCCCCGCAGCCTCGTGAGAGAACATGGCAGGTAATCATATGTCCTGCTTCTTTGCTGAGGCTACCTTGAATGATAATAACGAGAGGCAGATCGGACCTTCGTGTAATCTTAACGATAATGTTGTGAAATCTGAAGTACTGGAAGTGCTCCCTCTCTCAGAACTACAAGTGCTCAAATTTGAACGTGATTTGTGCAGCCTAGCCGGACGTTGCAGAAGCAAACTGGCAACTCCTCGGACTTTAACCTGCCTTTGCATACATGTTGTATGTGGTTGTTGGTGTGTCTATTTGTTGTTTTACCTATCCCGTAATGTTATCAATGACCTTAAGGGGAACAACATGAACGTTTGTGGATCGCGAAATTCAGGAGTAATGATTTCATCCTGAATCGGAGAAATCGGTCACTGCTTTCAGAAATGCAGCGTGGACACGAATGCTCGCCATAAGATAGGATGTGAGTAACTGCTTCACCCAATGCCACGATATCATGCTAGCACCGCAGAGACGTGGACTGAAGTCTCCGGGTGGTGGTCGCTTGAACTCCTTCCTCGCCGTCAAAGCAACCGGCCGCGTGGGAGAAGCCGGTTTTCGCCAACCCCCACCGATACCCCCACCACCCGCCCTACCTAACTCACGGTGCTTGTAGGCCCATCGGCGGCACCTGACCCACTCAGGCGCTTGCAGACCCCGATGACCCCTGGCTTGCTTACGGTATTTGTAGGCGGCGTCCACCTGTGCCACCATATCCCGCTTGCAACCGCAGATAATTTCGATGAGCGTGTTTTCGTCGGTGCCGAGGCCCCGAATGGCCTTCCGGCACCACTGCGCCAGGTAATGATGGCTGTTCTGCTCGCACAGCGCCAGCACGGCCGACTCGAAGTTGCCTCCAAGCTCCGCCTTCAAGTCATCTTTCAGGTCCTGACGGCATGGTGGCAAGGTCAAAGCTGCATTCAGATCCTTTAGGCACGGTGGTGAGGTTAGAACTGCATTCAAATCCTGTCGGCACGGCGGCGAGGTCAAAACTGCATCCAGATCCTGTAAGCACGGTGGCGAGGTCAGAACTGCATTCAAATCCTTTAGGCACGGTGGCGAGGTCAGAACTGCAGCAGCCCAGAGTTCGCATGCGGCAAGCTAGGATGGATGGCACTCAGATTCACTGGTCTTAGCACCGACGGCATCAGGGATCGAGAGCTACTGAAGCCAGAAATGCCGGCAAAACGCATGCCGTCAGATGAACTTCAGTCCCATATCTCTCAACTAAAATACATGCACGTGGTGGCCTCATGGTAAATGTGGTGTATGACTGATGCCTGGAAGCACCTCAGTTGGCTAAACAACCTGACCTTCTTTCGACTGTTACACTGCGCTCGCGTGCCCTGAGGTTGGAAGTGTCGCGGTATTTCAGGTCGATTTCAGCTGATTTAATGTGCATTTCTGGATGTATTTGCATTTCTGCGTTGCACGGTTGCATTTCTGCACTGCGTTGCATTTCTGCGTTGAGTTAATGTGAATTTCTGGCCATGCGAAGCCAAAGATTCAGGGCCTTGCCTTTGCTCATACGACTGGGTATTTCACTGGGCAATGAGGTATTTGCAGTGAAAAGCACGTTGGAAGTCGCTGCGGTTGATTTGAGTTTTTAGCTTGTTCTTATCTAATTTATATGAGCCCGTGGCCTTCTAGCTTGACGATGTCCTTGTGTCTCCGAATGAAAAGATGTCCCTAACCATCACGTATCCGACCGTGAGACTACCCATAGCATACCCGGTTTCTTCCATGTTGAGCACAATACATAGAGGCTGGACGTTACGGAAGCCGATCGGCAATTTATGCGACCAGGCCCGACCTTATCTGCACAAGATTTACGCGTGCACTGTATGTGCGGTGTCCCCTATAACCTATCACCAGACATAACCTACCCGATCTATCCACGCTGCGGAGACCAGGCCGCATCTTACCCGTCCGAACTGTTTTTTGTAGCGGTCGGCGATGGTTTCACGATCCTCGCAGCCGTTCTTGGTCAGGATCTCGATGATGACTCGTTCGTCGGTGCCGATGCCGTTCATCGACTTGCGCAGTCGCCGGCCGAGCTTGTCGGCGTCTGAGTCGCTGAGGCCGCCCGTCGACTTAATGGTGCCGCCCTGCGAAGAGGACACAGTGGGTGAGGCGTGCAGGGGGTTAGCTGCCCCTTAGGCCGGGTGCACGTGCGTTCTCGCTGCGGCACAGGTTTGCAAGGCGGTTGCGCCGAAGGTTTTGTACAGACCTCTGTTTCGTGGTGATGTTTGATTCGACACTGCTTATTCACCCATAGCCTTCCCCGTTAGGAATAGATAATTGTCTCCAATATTTTGGCGGAAACAAATCTGCTGCTACGGACGATTACCCACTACTAAAGAGACGCCCATAAACAAGATATGGCAGACAGAACGCTGCATTTTGAAACGCAATGTGTATTGTAGACTGGTGGTGGGTTATTACAATGTAGAAAGACGGAAAGGGTTGGGAAATAACAGGGTAACACTGCTTATTTCCTGGGAGTAGGCTCCGGTTTTGCGTCCTTCTCTGTTGGCCAGCAGGTCACCATGACCATTTCATGTGTTGTTCTGGATCGGACCACACAGCCACCCATCTTGTGATGATGTCAGGGATTTTGAGAAAAGGCTGCGACCCGAAGATAGATACACTGGCGGAATTCACTCCCAAGGGAATTCAACGCGCTATTCGTGGAGATGGGATGTGTTCCACCCAAAGCATTGCACATCATTCCCTGCACGAGCATGTCTTAATGGTGCATTTTTTAGCCTGCCGTGTCGAAGTCATAAAATAATTGCTCAACTCATCTTCTCTAAAACTGTGCGAAGATGGTGCTGTCCTACTTCCCAATCACAATAAAAACAGCTTCCCTTCATACAAACTGCATGCAAAAAGACAAGCTTCAGACTCATAGTAACGGCTGTCATGCTGCCATGCTGCCATCTTGTTACTTCTGGAAATTTTACGTAAGTTGCTAAGTGCATTTGCAAGGAACATTATTTGCTTAATTAAGACAGCAGCAATTGCATTGTCCGTCTGAGAAAAACCAAGAAAATGGAGATATGGATGCGTTGATATTTCGGCAACATGCCCTGTTCGAATGATAGCAAAAGGGATTTCTGTTATTGTTTCGATAAAGGCATGTCGTCAAAATATCATCACATCTGTATCTCCATTCTCCTGGTTTATCTCCGGGGAATAAGGCAGTTACCACTGTCTTATCTTCTCTGCAAATTTTGTTGACTTTGTAGCGCCATACAATTTTGACGTAAGCCACTGTCGTTATGCTAGTGCCAATAGAATACAAATCACACACAGGACCCATGTTAACATGAGAACATTTACGGAGATGTTGCAGTGTAAAGAATGAGAAGGCTGGCGAACAAATGGCACAGTACGGATCATGTGGCGCTGCAGCGGTCTTTGCAACGTTTTTGACTTAAAATTGTCGGTTGTTTGGCCTTTTCCCAATGTGTTGCTATCTGGGGTCTCCATCGTAACAAAAGATATACATATATACAACTTTGCTCGTTATCCGGCCTGCCGTCTTCTTCGGCAACAGGCAGGCCTGGGCGTTTTCCCATTTTACTTCCCTCCCAGACGCAGGAACATCCACGCATTGCGACTAGCAGGAATCCTGTTGTGACGTAGCAACGTCGTTCTTATCGATCTACTGGCACTGATTGATCCGAACCTCGATGCATGTCGCCACCACGACCCCCTAATGGCCTGTGCGCACGAGGCACCGCACCTGGCTGGGCTGGTAAGACGCAGGCGACGCTAAGCCCCCCCCCCCCCTTCGACGTATGTGCTGACTCTTTGGTCGAGGCCCGACGCAACTGGACTGACCTGAACTTGACCTACATAATGGTCAGATTACGAGGCCTTCATTTTAAGTAAGCTTTGTTGCATTAGCAATCACATTCCCCAAATACGGCCTCGTCTGCATGCTAACGTGATACTTATCATCTGTGCGTAACGCGCTGTATTTTGTGAAAAAGAAAGATGAAAACACATGTTCGTCCTGTTCATCAAGCGAAGGTGAATGGAACAGACAGGCCCACTTCTCGGCAGCATTATTAGACAGAAACCTAAGTTGGTACGATATATTAAATGCACAAGAAGCGGAATGAGCAGAAGCAGAACCGTCACGGGTCACTAATTGTTTCAAAATGGCCGTCAAATTTTCCAATGGAGGCGTTTTTATTTCGTGGCCATGTACCTCTTAGTAATATCATGGTTGCGCCTTTGGTCACGTGGGATCACGTCAAAAGTACTGCGCCCATGAAACGACGAAGAAAGACATGGTGACGAAACATGTCAGACGTTTTCGAAGAAATGCGTCTCGCTCCTTTACCCACTTTCTTCGTGCATTTTAGATTTGGTATCAGTATATTGATCTGTGTTATAGCGATAGCATGAGGCAGGCTAGTACATGAAACACAGGTAAACCGGTAAGTTATCGCACTTTCAGCCTACTCCAGAGTTGATCTCACCTTCATGTTGGCTGTATGTGTGCGGAGGACAAAGACGGAGGTCGAGCCGGCTCCTCGGCCGGCCGTGTGTCCAGGTGGACTGATCAGGTGACGCTCCCCACTCTCCACCCCCCCCCCCCCCCCCCCCCAACGGCAACGCTTCCAGCGGCGATCGATGGCGCGTTGGCAACTTTAAACAAACAGCGGTCCAAGGCGTGCGCCGGACTGCGGACCGCGGACCCCAGCCGCATACGCATTAACAGGCGCACGCACACACATACACACATACACGCACACACACACGCACATAACTGTATATATTTATATGTACATATGTTTATATCTATATTCATATATATATTATATATATATATATATATATATATATATATACATGCGTGTGTGTGTGTGTGTGTGTGTGTGTGTGTGTGTGTGTGTGTGGTGTGTGTGTGTGTGTGTGTGTGTGTGTGTGTGTGTGTGTGTGTGTGTGTGTGTGTGTGTGTGTGTGTGTGTGTGTGTGTGTGTGTGTGTGTGTGTGTGTGTGTGTGTGTGTGTGTGTGGCGTCATTTACATCGAATAGCCATTCAGTAATTGATACTATAATGTAATCATTCAGTCACATGGTGTCAGTTGGGTTCCTGAAGTCTTTCTGGCTTTGGTGGTCTTGTTTAAAGGCACGCCTGAGTCTCGTAACTTGTAACATCGGCTAGTTGTACTCAAAGATATACAGCTTCCACGGCTTTATGTCAATGGGCAACCCACATACATAACAGCCCTCACAGCCACATGTAGCTCTCATCTGGTCTTCTTTGATCGCTTGTAGGCCATCAAGCAAGCTTCGCTGCTATGCTCTACGCGTTGCGTCAGCAGTGTTAGCAACTTTCTTCCTTGCTGGGGGAAATTCCGTGCCTGGGAGAAATTTTGATTAGCTTCTCCGCGGCTGCTTGCCAAAGCGCTTTGAAATTTGGTGATTTTTCCTGCAATTGATATAGATGTTACAGTGCTGGAGTAAGCTAAGTGTCGCATATTTTTCAGTCACAGTAAGCTAAGTATCGCATATTTTTCAGTCACATCCATCATGAACACTGGTGACGCACAGAATATTTCAGCTGAAACGCAGTCAGATGATGCAAAGTGGCAATCACAGGCGTGTAAAGCTTAGATTTTAGTAGTGATTTTATTAGTTTTGTTTTTACACCTACCTACAGTACATGTTGAACGTTTCGATAATGCTTCCATTGTGACAGGCTTTAGCCCATCGTTATGGGGTTGGTGTATCTGCGTTGCCTGGGGCCAAATGAAAAAAGGCATGCGGTATACTCCAGCAGGATTAAGAGGTCAAGTTAGACTATAATACATACTAATGCACATGTATGCATACATCATGTTGTGCATGCACAGTAATATAATGCGTGTTGCAAACTTAACCGGGCTTTTTACTTACTCCATCTCCAGATGTAACATACAATAGCTCTTCTGTGCATTTGATCTGCGTGCGTCATCGTCTGGAGCATTATGTTTCCTGGATGTGAGATTAAGAAGTGTAGGTGCATGAAAAAACATGCAACGTGAACCAGTGGACTGTTAGCATGCGCTCGGGTGGGAGGGTCAAATTGTCTCCCCCCCGAAGGGTTTTCCAGAATGGTTTGCGAATGGCGCGGCGTAGCCGCGCCAAATTTTGCATAGCTGTGTAGACAATTGAATAGCGGATCGTTTTGCATCAAAATGTAGGTGTACCTAGTAAGGTCACTGACCTATGGCAGGTCAAACACAGGCCACGGTTTCAGCCAAGGCAATTTCTAGGGAGTCCTTCAATCTGATCTAACAACGGAGTGTTAGACGAAGCCATACATCTCTGAGATGCTTTCTTAGGCAACACAACAGTTGAATAAGCAAATTAGATTGACCTAAGGTCAGGTATAAAGGTTGCACCAAGGTCAAAGCCATTTTGTTTTGCCACTCTGGGGCTTGCTGTACGGGACAGCTTCTGGTGCTCGTTTTGAATTCATTGATAGCAGGAACCGCATTATCCATCTTCCATAGACTTCTTAGAAATCAGAATAGGTCATTGACCTAAAACGACCCAGGTCAACATTTTTTTTAGGAACATACACTCTAGGGTAATCTTTGTCGCTTAGTCAAATGCAAAGCTCAAAGCAAACTTGCAAGATTTTGGTCGCCTCGGCCTTCAAAAGATCAAGCAAGGTTACTGACCTTGAATGAGCATGTGACCTTTTACTTAGAAACGGCTATCTAGGTTCTGGGGGCGCTTGGAGACCAACCTGGAGCTTGACCTTTGTCTGTTGTTATCCGACCTTCTTTGACCCGAAGGTCATGACCTAGCAACCTAAAACTTTGACCTAAGTGAGTTCACGTACAGGTCAACACACTCTAAATTTGGTGTCACTAGCTTTCTTAGTTCCCGAGATCTCAGCGGGGGGGGTCTCAAACTGACCCCCCACCCAAGCGAGGGGCATCGAGCCGGCCAACCGGGCGCGTGTTACAACGTGAGTTTATAGTTCACCAAATGGCGGTTTGACAAAGAAAATTAGCGCTAATGGTGCCTCGTTTACCTAGATCTGCCCTTGCACAACATATGGGGGTTTGTCATATGTGCTTGCATTTTATACATATATATATATATATATATATATATATATATATATATATATATGACAGCATATATGTGCATGCATATATGAAAGTATATGTATAAATGTATACATATAATTCGTAAAAACATCACGCACAGTTCCTAGGAGAACAAAAGCTATGAATATGGAATCAAACGAAATGGTTTGCTATTTACGCCTATATTCCTCAGCATAGACACAAAGAACAAAAAGAACTGATGCTCATCACTTTTTACCTTCTTTGGAACTGCCTACAATCATCTCTCTCAAATTTATTAAGATACGTGGCATTCATACACATTCTAATCTCAACCGCCTTAGTTCCAATAAAATGGTGTAAACACCACGGGCGCAGTGACCATTAAAAAAATGTTGGTTCAGACACCACCTTGATGTCTAAACACGACCTTTTATGAAGGGCTGAATATCAAAAACACAACGCTTAACACGCGCCCGGGTGGCCGGCTAGATACCCTTTGCTCGGGGGGGGGTCAATTTGACCCCACTTGAGATCTCGGGAGCTAAGAAAGCTAGAGGCACCAAATTTAGTGTGTCTTGACCTGTACGTGAACTCACTTTGGTCAAAGTTTGAGCTTTACAGGTCATGACCTTAAGGTAAAAAATAAGGTCAAACAAGGTAAATTTACAGATTGGTCTCTAAAGTGTCCCCAAAACCTAGGCAACTGTTTCTGAGCAAAAGGTCGTAAACCCATTTGAGATAAGTGATCGTGTTTGAGCTTTTAAAGGTCCTGGCGACCATAATCATACAAGACTGCCCTGAGTTTCGCATCTAAATAAGCGACAATGATTACGCTAGGCATGTCGACCCGGGTCATCTTAGGTCCATGACCTGTTCTGACCTGTAAGAAGTCAATAGAAGATGTCTAATGCGGTTCCCGCTGTCAATAAATTCGAAATGAACACCACAAACTATCTCATACAGCAAGCAAGCCTTAGAGTAATACAAAGGTTGGTTTTGACCTTGGTCTGACCTTCACACCTAACCTTAGGGAAATGTAATTTGCTCATTCAATATTTGTGGGGCCTAAGAAAGCATCTCAGAGATGTATGGCCTCGTCAAACACTCCGTTATTGTATCAGATTGGACGATTCCCTAGAAATTGCCTTCGCTAAAACCATGGCCTGAATTTGACCTGCCATAGGTCAGCGACGTTACAATATACATCTAAATTTTTGATGTCAAACGATCCGCTATTCAATTTCATATAGCTATGCAAAGTTTGGCACAGCCACTCCGCGTCGTTCGGAAACCATTCGGGAAAAACCTTCGGAGGGGGGGGGTCAATTTGACCCCCCACCCTCACCTGAGCACGTGTTAAGTCAAATTTGTACCCCGAAAATTTTGGGCTGGTATGCACAGAAAGAGATGTGACAATCTAGTCATTCACCAAAAGAGATACACACACCGGAGCTCTTACGTCAACAAATGCATGCCCAGCTGAAAAAGTTAATATCTTACAGCTGCTAACAGGAAAGGTCAACTTTCTAATCAGATCGGGCAACGTGAAGCTATGGCCAGACAATGCAGGAAGAGCTGGACTGTCTTAAAAGAGAGGATAATCGGCCAGCCGCGCCTCAGTCAATGACTTTTTGTATATTGAAGTTCCGCTTGTTCGACGAGAGATAAACAGCTAGTAACGCATGCCATCCGATCCACTGAATGCGTCTGAAAACGAAGCCGTTCTAGCAGATGACTGCCAAAGGCTGAATGGAGATGTCAATCAAAACGTACGCACGGTGGCTGACAGAGTGAGTTCAGGTGACGCAAAAAGGAGTCTACATATCCGTCCAAACCTGATAGTGTTCTGCGTGATGCGACGGGACTTTTTATGCGCAAAAATTACGATGTCAAGATTTGTTCCAGTTTATAGTTACCTCCAATGACTTAAGCTCGTGGGTTTCGATTTTCACCTCAGACAATGCTTGTGCACATTGCCTCCAGGTGATTAAACCCACTGCCACGACATTTCTTATAAGCACCAAGCGTTCCTGTAACTAAGCGTACGAATGGCTGCTTCCGATGGTACGTGCGCGCAGACGAAGCAGCATGGTCCAGAGACGGTCAAATTATAGGAAATGTATTGCAATTCACTGCACGCAACACGTTTCGCACCAGGCGGGAATTAAATCGCAACACTTGTGGCACACAAAGTCTATGCATAGTGTGGTGTAACACGAGATGTGTGACAAGAGGCAGCATTCATTGCGCACGTCTCCACGCTGTCCAGAGTTATTGCAGATCCCTAAGAATGTCAAGGACTTGTCAGAATCCTGGCACTGGTTATAGCCCGATATCATCGCATGATTTGCTCTGGTTTACGGATGGCTTTGCAGCAAAAGGCTGGAGCTTCCACAGCAATAGGCTGGATGGCACCGGCTGGCTACTGATGTGTGCCGGTGCTCCCTTCGCTGGAACGCGGACGGAGCAGCGGCCGATCCCGCACACGCCACACACAGGGCGGTGCTGCCGCATCCCGCCACACCGCCTACGTGAAAGGTCTCATCAGTAAGGTTCAAATCAATTTTCAAACAATCAAATGCAGTACATGCCTCGTTCTTGGAGTCAGGGGCAGCGTAACACGCACGGCCGGGGTCACAGATAACACCTGTTCACAGCACAGGCCGATTGGCTGCGATTGCGCAGTTCCTCAGCTGACCGCTTCCAGAGAGCAGCACTTCAGGTGCGCTCATTACTTGATGATGGCCAGCAGTATCTTCTGGTAGTCCCTGGATGTCTCTGACGTGACCGCCTCGGCCAGCGTCTTCTTGTAGGCCTTCTTGAAGGCCTCCTTTATGTCCTCCAAGTCGATCTGAGGACGTAGTTGTCATAACATTGCATGAGAACCAAGAATGCACTTTCAGTTTCGAGAGCACGCGGGGGCGGGTCGAGTTTTAAGCGAACTCAGCTGGAGCATATGGCTAGAATGCATTACGAACTAACGAACAAAATCCCTCATTTAAGATGTCCTGCCTTTGAAGTCTAGTTTCCATGTCACGTGACATTTGGTAAGTAGATAGCATCTCAATGACCAGCGCCCTGCTCCCGTTATTGAAGACTTGCGGAATTGTGCTAACCAGTGGCCTTCAAATCCATTGCAGTATCAATCCGTGAACTTATTGATAGACGTAACCTAGCGCTCACCAATAACGTCTGTTACCTCGAGTGAACCATATCAATCAATTCGGGAGATACAGTGTACTGTTCGTTGGCTATGGGACGTTGTCCTCATTCACGCGTCACGGACACGGCCCCGCAATATATCCGCTGACGTTATTGACTATTTCTTAGTATCTATCATCCGAGGCAAACCGCAAACCCCTGGTTTCGTATGGTAGGACCAGTCCTGTGACCTCGTAAGACATTCACGGACTGTAACCTCTTCCCAACCACTCACTAACCTCTGATCGTGTGACCAATATGCGGATGAGTGTGTCGTCGTCAGTGCCGGCACCTTTCATCGCATCGTGTAGCACCTTAGCAAAGTAATTGTTCTGATCTTTGACGCACAGCACTGAAACAGACACAGCACAACGCATGGTAATGCGGAAGCCATAGTTAGTGAAATGAGAAGTACATGGCAGTCCAATTATTTTCAAACCCGCACGTACACAAACACGCGTGTGCACACCTACACAAACATACAAACACACATGCACACTCCTACACAACCATACAAACACGCATCCACACACTCGCACAAAAATATAAACACACATAAACGCACCTACACAAGCATGCAGACACACACACACACACACACACACACACACACACACACACACACACACACACACCCACACACACACACACACACACACACCACACACACACCACGCACGCACGCACGCACCACCACCACACACACACACACACACACACAACCACACACACACACACACCACACGCACACGCACCACACACACACACACCACACACACACGCCCACCCTCCCGAGTTCCTCGTGTGCGCAGTTGTACGGTGACCTTTCTTGACCTTGGCGTGCCCTGGGCGGGTTTGGCCGGGGCGGGTGGCGACGTAAATGTCACGTGACTAGGCGGCACGTCGTAGGCCTCGAATACGGGAAGCGTCGCTCTAAGCTCGGTGCGCGCCCTGATGTGACGCTGGCCTAAGCGTGCACGTGCATTCCTCGATACGAATCGGGTAGAACGGAGTAGCGGAGTAATTATCGGCGAGATCAAAGCGATAAGATGGCGGCGATGAGTGCGACCAGCGATTCTTTACGTGGCGTTGTGTGCGTGTTGCGATAAAGCACTTTCGCTGGGGACTCGCCGTGTCAGTGGGCCTCCAATGCTCTCTTCGATAGACATCTTCAACAGTGAGCAGTGCGCTGGAGAACGGAGTGCGGCAAGTGAAGCTGGAGGTAATCCTGGTTAGGATTCCTGGTTCCTAGAATCCTGGTTTCGTGAATTGAACCACCCGGTACCAGTGGACTTCTCGGCACAAGCGATAATGGTCTGTTCCTTCCCTGTCCTATTTATCTGGCATCTAATCGTTTTAGATCTTTGAGTCTGCTAGTTCTAAGTAATTTGAGAAATTTATGAAGCTGCACACACAGGTTCACCACTGCTTTCGTTGATGCAAACAGAATGTATTGTGTGACAGCCGCTGGGACATTAAACGAAATTTATGTTCAACTTCTACCGATGGCTTTCGGCCATATCCCCAAACTTTCCACGAACAGCAGTTTTCACGAAGGCATGCAGTGCAAATTTTGTTTGTGACTACGTGTGTAGTGTTGCCAGGCTTACCATTATGAACCATTATGACATAACAGTTTTGGTGAAAACGCACGTGTTATGCATCGGCACTCCTCACCTACAGCCACAAGAGCATCCTTCAGGGCTCCTGAAAACTCCTTCTCGATGGCATTTTCTATCGAATTATCCGCAAACTTGTTGTACTCCTCGAACGTTTTCTTGAGCTGGGGGTAGTTCGTTGTGCAGAAGATCCGGATAAACGTCTCCTCGTCTGTCCCGCCATTCATGCCTTCTCCTGCCTCATACAGCTCCTGTAAACACGACCGATATATGTCAGCCGACTGTGGTACCATGCCAGTCGTTAGTCAGTCAGTCAGTCAGTCAGTCAAATACAGGAATATTTGCATGCGACTGTGAGGTGGCATGTCACGCAGGTAGGCTGCGATCCTATATGTTCAGCAGCTGCAAGGTTGATCGCATGCATCTTTCAAGTTGTGTCGGGCAACGCAGTGTTGGAGTGCGGCAAGTGAAGTTGGAGGTAATCCTGGTTAGGTCCTAATCCTGGTTAGTTTCGCCATCAATCGAATGCATTCATGGTGCAAAGCTTGCTCACCAGTAATAGCACTTCGAGGATCGGCCTGAGCCCATGCAGTACATGTGCTGCCGGTCTCTGCCGAACACTGACCTGGGCCAGATCCTTGGTGCGCTGCGGGCTGACGCCGACGTCGTCGTTTTCCCTGCCGTCCTGCAGCAGCGCAACCATCAGGCGCTTGACGTCGCCACCCATCTCCGACTCGATGTCTTCCTCCAGCGAGCGGCGAAACTCTGTGGTGGAGCCATGCTAGTGGTCAAACGCTGCGGCGGGGCTGCGTCACAGGTCAAACACCGCGGTGGAGTCACGCCAGCGGTCAAACACTCCGGCGATTTCACGTCTGCGGTCAAACACTGCGACGGGGTCACGTCTGCGGTCAAACACTGCGACGGGTCACGTCTGCGGTCAAATGCCATGGCGGGGTCACGTCTGCGGTCAAACACTCCGGCGAGGTCACGTTTGCGGTCAAACACCGCCGTAGAGTCACGTCTGCGGTCAAACACACCGGTGGGGTCACGTCTGCCGTCAAACACACAGGCGTGGTCACGTCAACGGTCATACACACAGGCGGGGTCACGTCAACGGTCAAACAAACCGGCGAGGTCACGTCTGCGGTCAAACACTGCGGTGGGTTCACTTTAACGGTCAAACACTGCGGCGGGGTCAACCACGGTTTGTTTCAAACGAGGCTAGACACCACAACATGTTACGGTCTCGCAGCTTTCTGCTTCTGAAATACAACGGTGTAACGAATCCTTTATAACGCAATCATTGCTGCAGAACGCAGTGGCCTGTGTTCGGTGTAGGCGTATTGCCTGAGGTTGACAGCCTTATAGCCACGTTCCCCCAGGCTCATGCCAGAACACTGCTAATGGATCATGTGTCTTGCCTTTTTGCTAAGGCTGCAGTGAATTACAACAACAAGGCACAGATTGGACTTTGTGTGATCTTTACGATGATTCTGTCGGGATTGAAGCACTGCAGGGGCTCCCTCGCATGTCCTTACGTTTGCAGTCACTCTTGGTCAACTTGGGATTATGTTGCGCACCCTACATATGTTGAAATTATCGCCGGCTTGGTTAGTGTCATTGGGCTACCCTTTAGAAAGACAATTTGTGGCCAATTTCTGGAAATGCTGCTTAACGTTTTCTACCACTAGGCTGCGCCCAACAATGACGCAAGCCATTACTCGGATACGCATTTCGAAATTATTTCAAAAGTTTGATACTGTCGTCCAGCTGCAATCCCCAGACGTGTGTAGCACTAGATATTGGTTAATAGATCGATATTTGACCTTTTCAAGTACTCGACTGTCATTAGTTAATTCTATATTCGGATGAGCGCGATTTGTGCAGCCTAGCCAGGTATTAGAGAAGCAAATTGGCAATTCCTCGCACTTCAACGCACCTTTGCACATATGTTGAACGTCATCGCTTATGTGTATATTTGTTGTGCTTTCTGATCTGTGATGTCATCAGCGACGTTAATAGGACCAACATGGGCGTTTCTGGATCGCGAAATCCAGGAGTAACGATTTCAGTCTGAATCGGAGAAATCAGTAGATTGCTTTAAGATGTGCGGCGTGCACACGAATGCTCGCCATAAACTGAAGTCTAACTGCTGCACCCAATGTCATGACGTCATACCAGCACCACAGAGAAGTGAACGGAAGCCTCCGGGTGGTGGTCGTTTGCACTCCCTCCTCGCGATCTAAGCAACTGGCCGCGTCGGAGAAGTCGGCTTCTGCCCCCTCCCCCATCCATCACTACCACCACCCGTCCCGCCCCACTCCCGATGCTTGCGACCCTTCCACGGCCCCTCACTCGCTCACGGTGCTTGGATACTCCTCGATGTCCCTTGGCCCACAGAACGCACCTGTAGACGCCTCGACGGTCTCTAGCCGACTAGCCCCTTGCTCCTCCCGATACAGGCCCTCCGCAGTCCCTTGACTCACTCACCGGACGTGTAGACCTATATATTTATGTCCCCTTCCACACTCCCGGTGCTTGTAGACCCATCGCGGCACCTGACCCACTCAGGCGCTTGCAGACCCCTCGATCACCCCTGGCTTACTCACCGGTATTTGTAGGCGGCGTCCACCTGCGCCACCATATCCCGCTTGCAGCCAGCAGAGAATTTCGATGAGCGTGCTTTCGTCGGTGCCGAGGCCCCGAATGGCCTTTCGGCACCACTGCGCCAGGTAATGGTTGTCCCACTCGCACAGCGCCAGCACGGCCGACTCGAAGTTGCCTCCAAGCTCCGCCTTCAGGTCATCCTTCAGGTCCTGACGGCACTGGTGGCAAGGTCAAAGCTGCTTCAGATCCTGTCAGGCACGGTGGCGAGGTCAGAACTGCATTCAGATTCTGTCTGCACGGTTGCGAGGTCAAAACTGCATTCAGATCCTTTAGGCACGGTGGCGAGGTCAGAACCCGCATTCAGATCCTGTCGGCACGGTGGCGAGGGTCAAAACTGCAGCAGCCCAGAGTTCGCATGCGGGCAAGCTAGAATGGAAGACGCTCAAATTCATTGGCCTTCGTGCCGAAGGCATCAGGGATCGAGAGCTACTGAAACCAGAATGCCGGTGGAACGCATACCTTCGCATGAATTTCGGGCCCTTGCCTCTCCAATGTATACATGCGTACAGTGGCCCTCATCGTAAACGTGGTGTATGACTTGTGCCTGGAACCGGGTCAGTAGGCTGGACAAGTTGCCTGTCTTTCGACCGTCACGCTGCGCTTACGTGCCCTGAGGTTGTGGGTGTAGCCGATCCAATTTTTCAATATAAATACAATTTTCAATACAATTTCAGCCGATAAAAAGTTTTCAAGCCGATTAAAGGCGATTTCAGTTGCATTAATCTGCATTTCTGGACATGCACAGTCAAATATTCAAGGTCAAATTACCTACGCTCATGCAATTGTGTATTTCAGTACGTTAGGAGGTACTTGTAGTGGGAAAGTTTGCATGGAAAGCGCTGCGGTTGATTGGAGTTCTTAGCTTGTATTGTCTAACTTATTATACCAGCCCCGTGACATTCTAGCTAGACGATTGGCCTGGTGGCCCTGAATAGAAAGGTGTCTCTGACCATTGTGTAGTTTCCCCATCGGTAATCTATGCAGCCAAACCCAACCTTACATCCACAAAACTTACACGTCTACTAAACGTACCGTTTCACCATTATACCTATCACCAGAAATCCCCTACCTGATCTTTCCACGCTGCAGAGACCAGGCCGCATCTTTCCCATCCAAACTGAGCCTGTAGCGGCCAGACCGCACTTTGCGCGTCCGAACGGAGCCTTGTAGCGGCCAGACCGCATTTTTACGCGTCCGAACTGAATCTTGTAGCGGCCAGACCGCATTCTACGCGTCTGAACTGAACTTTGTAGCGGCCACACCGCATTTTACGCGTCCGAGCTGAGCCTTGTAGCGGCCAGACCGCATTTTACGGGTCTGAACAGAACCTTGTAGCGGCCAGACCGCATTTTACGGGTCTGAACAGAACCTCGTAGCGGCCAGACCGCATTTTACGCGTCCGAACTGAACCTTGTAACGGCCAGAACGCATTTTACGCGTCCGAGCTGGGCCTTGTAGCGGCCAGACCGCAATTTACGCGTCCGAACAGAACCTTGTAGCGGCCAGACCGCATTTACGAGTCCGAACTGAACCTTGTAGCGGCCAGACCGCATTTTACACGTCCGAGCTGAGCATTGTAGCAGCCAGACCGCATTTTCCGGGTCCGAACGGAACCTTGTAGCGGCCAGACCGCATTTTACGCGTCCGAACTGAACCTTGTAGCGGCCAGACCGCATTTTACGCGTCCGAGCTGAGCCTTGTAGCGGCCAGACCGCATTTCACCCGTCCGAGCTGAGCCTTGTAGCGGCCAGACCGCATTTAACGCGTCCGAACTGAACCTTGTAGCGGCCAGACCGCATTTTACGCGTCCGAACTGAACCTTGTAGCGGCCAGACCGATTTTACGCGTCCGAACTGAACGTTGTAGCGTTCAGGTCACATCTTACCCTTCCGAACTGCACGTTGTAGCGGTCAGGTCGCATCTTACCCGTCCAAACTTCATCTTGTAGCAGGAGCCGATAGTCTTGCGATCTGCGGCGCTGTGCTTGGTCAGGATCTCGATGATGACACGTTCGTCGGTGCCGACGCCCTTCATTGACTTGTGCAGCCGCCGGCCGAGCTTGTCGGCGTCTGGCTCGCTGAGGACGCCCTCGGGCTTTATGGTGCCGCCCTGCGAGCAGCACGTGGCGGGTGAGGCGTGCAGGAGGTTAGCTCCCCGCGCACTCCCGCCTGTCAGAGAGGATGATGGTTGGGCCTAGTGTACATGCGTTCTCCTTGCGGCACAGGCTCACAAGGTGGCTGCGGCGAAAGGTTTGTACCGACCTGCGTTTCGTGACCATGTTTGCTTTGGCACAGCCTATTCACCCATGACTTTTCCCATCAGGAATGGACAATTGTCTCAATATTTTTGCGGAAGC